GAGTGCAAGAGGATTTATGCAGCTGTCAGCCAGGAGATAATGAATGCACACACATACAAAAGAGTGAAGACATTATAAAACCTTTTCCCAGGCTGGCAGGAGAATGAAGGAGTTGCCTGATAATGCTTTTAAGTTGCTTATTCTTTCAATGCATTTAAAATCTAGATTGCAGTGAAGTTGACTTTTGTGTCACTTGTCACAACATTTTGCTTAATATTTGCTGAGTATTCTGTATCATGTAGTTTTTCTTTAAGGTAATTGAGAGTGGGTGTGGGATAGTGGTCTAAACAAAAGTTTTGCTCCTCATGGGATGCCTTAAAAAGAGAATGTGTGTCAAACCAGCCTAAGTCACGTCATGAGCAGGGACAGTCCTCTTAGCATGTGATCAGAGAAGTGTTAGTGTTGCCAACTTCAAAAAAGGCCAGGAGGAGACTGGTGAGGCTCATGTACACAGCCCTTACTGATTGTTCAGCTGCCTGAGTTAAAATGCAGTGGGTTTGTGTTCTGGTGCCAGGCAGGGAGAATGTTCTCTCTCTTAGGGAAATGATTACAGGAGGTCTCTTGAAGGCACTTGAGATGATGAAAGTTGTGGTGGAAACTGATGAYGAAAGTCATGGTTGGAACACATTTATTATTCTGGTGCAGGGAAAAGGAAAAAGCCCTTGTTTTCACCCAATCCATCTATATTTCTTTTCCATTAGAAGTGTTACTACGCTTCTTTGGAGTGCTGATGTGACTCACCATTGCTAATAAGCTATAGAATGTTATGATCAAGAAAAAAGTATACACAGAACATAGGTTTTGTGCTTTGGACAGTGAATGACACAAATCTTTGCAGTTTATATTCTGAAACAAGTATTAACTGGTTACAAAGCCTTTTGCAACTCAAGTGTTTTTCCCTGAACCCACATTCCTAGGAGATTGTTAGGCACCAATTGTTGCAGAGTGGTTGAATAAACTTTAGAAAGTTGGCTAGGCAGAAGTGGAGCAAGGAAAGCATGAGAAGAGTTAAGAAACGAACAGTTTGTACTCAGTAACTATACAACATAGTAGCAAACATGGGATCAAAGTTTCACTTAGAAGAGATCTTGTGGCTCTATGAAAGAACAGTGACACAGGAAAAGACAAAAACATGTAATACCATGTGGATTGGGGCTATATGGCAAGAGAGAGAGATTTGGTCCTGTAATTTGCAAGCAATTTTTCTTCCTGTATATTTGCCAGTTTATTCCTCTGTGTTATCTGTACTTCAAAATAATAGTCAGTCGGAGAAGCATGCCTGCTTTTCTTGCTTGCTGTCATTGCATTATTAATTACTGCAGATTTAATTATGGTCAGGGCACTCAAACCTTTCAGGCAGCTATTTGTGTTAAACCCAAGGAGTGAGAGCATTAACCAGTTCTCCTCATGACTGGGCTGGCGTGGGAGCGGTAATTCTTTCTGTTAGGAAAAATGGTTTTTTTTTGGTTTTTTTTTTTTTTTTTTTTTTTTTTTTTTTTTTTTTTTTTTTTTTTTTTTTTTTTTTTGGAAGCATAGAGCAAAGCAACAACAATAATCTGAATCTTCTCAGGTTTTTATTCTGGAGACTTGGAAGGCTCAAACACAAGGCAGTATGGGTTTTAGGCAGGACTCATCTTTGCTCTGGTACAAATCTGTAGCTATGTACTTTTTCTGTAGTATAGTAGAACTCTGGATGGCTAGGATACAGATTTACTCATTAGCCCTACATTTTTTTTTTACTGTTCATTTATATTGTCTCCATAAATGTCTTTGTTTCCCTCAGGATTGGATCTTTTTAGATTTACTTTTCAGAATTTATTTCAGCCAACTCCCTCAAATCCTTTTAATAATCTGTATTTCAGCTACAAAGACTCACCTGATTCAGCTGCTGTGGAAAACTTTTTGCAGTACACCAAACCATATGACAGCTTTTAATGGGATAGTATTTTCCAGTTTTCCAACAGGTATTTTCCAAGGTTTAGTCTGATCTTTGAAAAGCACTTTCAGACATTTGCATGAAGGATGTGATGTCTCAGTGGCAGCAATCCCACACTGAGGTCAGGAAGCATCTTGGCATCTGTACAAGTGCTGCACTGGCACACAGAGCATGTYCTGTCCATGTGTGAAGTGTGTCTACAAATAAACATCCTTTGTATACTCCCAGGTAATAAAAAGCTTTCATTACCTTCTTAGAGACTACTGAGAGGACAAATGTATTTTCCTAAAAGTGATTCTGGTGTAAAAGAAGATGTTCTGCCTTTATTTGTCTTAGTGGCTTGACTAGGTCTCTTACCTTCCCATTTGAGCTTATCTTTTTTGTACTACTGTTCAGAAATCTATCCAAAATATTTGAGTGATCAGTAACATTTGGGCTGAAGTGCCTGTCTGGGTACTTGATTGTCAATATATGAAATTAGACATGGCCTCATAATTTGGATTTATTCCAGTTGAAGTAATTTTAATCCACAGGTAAATTTTGTCAACTCATTCATCTGTTTTCTAGATCTTTAATAGCTGTTCATCTCCAACAATGAACCTCTTCAGGATCTCACTCTTAATCATACACTAAGTTGAAATTCAACCATTTAATCTTCATTTAATCCATGAAAAGGACTCTGAGTCACTCTGATTACTTAATTTCCTTGATAGCCTTCCATCAGAGCTTTTAGCTATTAATCAGTGTCAGATCATGGTGTCTGGTTGGAGATGAGTAAGTGAAACTGAGAAATTTGATGAAGCAGGGAGTTAAAGCCAATTAAGAATTTAGCAACTTATTATTTTTTTTTGAGAGTTGGTTTTAGAATTCTTAAAACTGAGTTAAATGATAGAAGCAATCTTGTATTTGAAAGAAGAAAACATGTAAAAGCTGCTTTGAGTCTGAATGTTACTGGAAAAAAATAGGATGCCATGAAGAAAGAAAACATCTTGAGCAGTTTCATGAAGAAGAAAGCCATTTTGAGCAGGATGTAAGTTACTGACTCTCAGTTTGTCTTTCACCAGAACAAGTGGATGAGAACGTTTCTGACTAAGTGAAAAATAATTGACTTCAATGTGGCATTCTGGGTTCCAACCTGTCAGGCTTTCAATCATGATTTACAGCCAGGAATCCTCCTCCTTGTGATGAATGGTCCAAGGGAGAAGACAAATATAGCCTGAGCTCAATTTGGAAGTCCTCAATGACAGATCGATGTCATGGTTTTGGAACAAATTCTTGGTGCCAGTGGGCATTGCTGCTTCTTAGGCTAGAGTCATGAAACCTTCTACGCTAAAGTATATTTGTGAACACAATGGATGAGAGAACTGTCCCTGGGCTCAGGGGCAATGCAAACAAATTTAGGACTGTGCAGGGATAACCTTGATTAGGGGAGCAGAGACTGTTTTGCCACTTTTCTGTGCACTGGTCTTTTCCTCAAAAACAAAACTGATGTCAGCTCTACTTGGTGCTGTAATATCAGTGCATCATTTCCTACTGTGTGCTCTGTTTTAAGTAATAAGACAGTGTACAAAGATCTGAAGTTAAATGTAAGCTGTCAAACTGATGAGATTGGTTCTGTCAGAAGATGAAACTCTTCATTTGGTAAGGTAGGTGTATTTTATTTTTTGGCTAAACGGCTGTTCAAAATCTCAGCATGTTATCACACAATGCATGCATAAAAGAAAAAGGCTGTGCCACCTGTACCCTCCACCTTCACCCCAGAAGTGTGCAGGAGTATGTTCACTTCCTTTATTTATTTGGTGTCCATGATTTGATGTCCATGAAGGACATCTAGATAATCCTCTAATTTGTAGAACTTCCTTTTTTATGGTGAATAAAGCATAATCTTGACATACATCTCTTTGTGTGGCTCTTCTGTCAGAAGGTTTTGCTGCAGGTGTTGGGCCCAAAGTACTAGAGTTAGTGTGTTCTATACCAGTTTGTCATGTGCTTTTGGAACTACTTTTTGATGCAATATTTGAAGTTTTCTCTGTATTGAAGATAAAGATTTAATGCATAGAAGGTAAAGGTTATGAAGGCTGCTTGGCTGCTTAAAAATTTTGGTGATATTTCAGGAAAACCCCCTTTTTTTCTATTTTCTTTAATACCAGGATTAACAACAGGGGTTGAACTGATACTGAAAACTGGGGCTGGACATGCATTTGATAGATTCATGTTCTGAAAAGTAGGTCAGAGGTCAAAAATGTCTTGCTTTGCATAACAACAGGCAATTAACTTTCATTGACTCATGATGTGAAAAGTGATCGAGAGACAGATTCTTTGCTTTGGTAACAGTCTGACAGTTGGGAAGAATGTTTTTCTTGACCGTTAGGGGTTAAATGAGCTGAGTAAAATTGGTAATTTTTGCTCCTTTCCACTTGGTATAACAGCTATTATATGAGGCATTTTTCCTTACATTAGTTGTAATGACGGACTTTAACTGATTACCCTGTTGAAAGAACAGGTTTTTACTGACAAAGATGTTGTCTTGGTATTAAGATCTGCAAAAATGGCTGGTGCATATAGAACCTGAAATACCTTCTCCTTGCTGGCCCCTTCCCCCAAAGTTCTTAGCATTTATTTAATAATCTTTAGTCTACAAGAGGTTTAATTTTATGATCAGCTTAGAAGTAGCACTTGTAGGTTAAAATATACCATGTCTCTCCAAATGAAAACTGCAGCCACAGCTCTAACACAATTGTCTGGAAGAATACTGATGTGTAGGCAGCTACTTGGGAGTTTTTGTCGTGGTCATGTTTTGATAGAGGATGATGGTTTTTGAGGCAAATAATCAGGCTCCTGGGTAAACAAGGTAATAGTGCTTCATCTGCAATAGAGGTGGAGAATTTATCTACTGGAGCACTGCTGGCTGTGACTGTCTTACTGATGAAAGCAGCTTTTCACAGCCCCTCGAAACGTGCTGTGCTATTTCACTTGTGACACTTCAAAGTGTGTGATTGTGTGAAAGTCCTGGAGTGAAACGTCTTTTCAAAATTTTAGATCAAACGAGAAATGTCAGAATATCAACAGGAAATAAAACATTTTTATTGAATATCTGTGTAATACGTATGTTATTTTAACGACAATTGGAAAACTCTACTGTGGGAAGTCACTACACAAAGTGAAACAAAATATAAACCACCTCATCAAAAATGAAGGTAAAATACGGCTAAAGTTGTCGGCTCGCGGGCCACGAGCGATATGGCAGGATAAAACACCCCAAACATTTCTACAAGATACAGAGAAAACCCACACAGAGAAACACTCAAGCAGGCAGTAAATATACACAAAGGCAACTAGGATCTTTCTACAGCATCAGATTCTAATACTTCACACAGCTTTGTCAGAAAGGTACATGTGGCTTCTTTGAGGATGAAAAAATGTCATCTTGGTCACACGGCAAGTTCAGTCTCTGAGAATCATTGTACCTTACAAACCAGTTCTAGGGTGACGTTCAGTCTGGCAGTGTAGGAAGAGAAAGCATTAAGAATACCTTAACACAATGAGTCAGTCCCGGCACTTGGAACCTCAGCTATCCTGAATAAATAACTGAAAGCTGGAGAGCATGAAGCTCTTAGGCTGGAAAGCTGACTGTCTGCTTCTTCTCTTTGGTGGGGTTTGGTCCTTAAGGATAAGATTGTAAAATATTCCAGCTTGATGCGTTGCATGTATGTGCCTGTTTCTATCAGAAAATGTCTCGCTTGTGTTTTTTCTATGTTTCATGTAAAAACAAAAGAAAATGGATCTTGCTATTCTCACTTTTGGAGGTGGGGAGAGACACAGGCTTTTGTTCTCCTCCCAGTACTTTGCTGCTGCATTTACCCTCAAAGTACTGAAAAACAGGGATACTTGGCCATCACTGCACTCTGAGACTGGCACAACTCTCCCAGAAGCAGAGCCTCCAGGGAGGCTGTGGAATTTAATTTTCAGTGCACAGTTCTCTCATTACATTCATCTTTGTTGTTTCCGTAGTTTCTGTTAGATACAGAAGATTGATAAGAACTTTAATGGTTAATTATCATGCCTCCCTCCAAAAGCAATAGCATTTCCACATTTCTAGGATAGTTTGCATTGCTGAAAATAATGAACTCTTCAAAGCATTATAAATATATTCACAGCTTGGAAAGATAAGCGAGGGGCCTCCAATGACGGTACATGAGCTAGAAGTGATGCCCTGAATGACTTGATGAGATGGTGCAGTGGAGGTGCCATGCTGGGGAGCTGTAAGATGACTCTATGGGAAAGCAGCAGGGGCGAGGGCAGTTGGAAATGTAGAGTATTGCACAGGGCTTGACAAAATGCTGCGTGGTCAACCCATTCACTAGAGCATCCTTGTCCCCTGCATAGCTCTCCAGTTCTACATTGGTCCGTAATAACTGGAACTGCTTGTGCTATGCGTTCCTTCGGCAGTGCAGTAGAAGGGAATGGCAGTATTATTACAATATCACTACGGAATAAATTGATTGCTATCCACTGAGAAAACTACATTTCTAAGCACACACGGCAGTCACAGTGATACACAGAGCAGTCTTTCAAGACTTATGGAATGACTAATAGCTTCATAATAGTGCCATTTACTACATAATAACATTTAAAACATTTAAAAACTCCTCCTGAAACGAGCATCTAGTATACAGAAGAGGTTGCTTCAGTTTTCTAGAACTTGTTCTTTGTTTTCACTTTTTTTTAAAGGACAAATTAAAACTTAAGTATAAATAGTATATAAAAGGTCACTAGCTGTTCTCTTTTGGCTTACTTTGAAGTGCATTTAGAACTATGGCTAAATTTTGTCATCTTCTGATGGGATTACAATACTGTCTGTTTACCATGAAACTATATTGTATAATAAACTCACACGGCTGTGTCTAAAAAATATTCTGCATTCCTTCTAATCTGAGTTAGTATCATAAAATATTTTGTTACAAAGTCTAATGTGCAAACTCATTATAATGTGAAATTGTGGATGGAATTCACAGTATGCAAATTTTGTATAAAGGTGATAATGGAGAGCTACACTTGTTTTCACGGCAGCATTTTACTACTGCTGCATCCCCCTCCTCCCCCTCCCTGCACAGCTGCTGCAGTGGTCTGTCTTTGTATGTTAGATGAAATTGTTGTCTCCTATGGAACTGCTGCCTCAACTTTCAATCTAAAGCCATTTCAGTCTGCTATGTATTTGCTTTGGAATATATACAAAAAAATTATATCCTGGATTCTGGCTACATCTCCATGAGGTCAGCCATGGAACCACTCAGATCATGCTAAGTTGCCTGTGAAAGAAGTCTACCCAATTGGATTTGCCCCTCCAAGATTCACTGTGGATGTGAAGCGTGTTATTAGGATGGTCCAGTTGAAAGCTCAGATTTAAGTTGTCCTTTAAGATGTCAGTGTAATACTACTAGTGCCTTACAAGTTAGATAATTTTTTTTTCTGGAATGCAGACGATACAATAGTTACCCTATAATATAGTATCAGCTCTCCTATATCTCAGTCAATTTACATAATTTAAAATAGAACATCTTATTAAAAACATCTAAATATACACAGATTAGGAAACGCTTACAACATACAAATACACAAACTAGAAATAAATTCTCAGCATACTGGTGTATATATACAACTGTGTGATACAATAAATAATTTCTGTCATGCTCTATCTACACATCATATTGCTTAAAAGAAGAGTAGATCTGGGGTGGGCAGTAGTGAAATGAAGCGCCTTTGAAAGGCTCTCTACATTTAAATTTGTGCAAATTAAAATGGGAATTTAAAAGTACAACTGATCAGTGTCAGGAACACATGGCTGGAAATGAAAGGACCCATATTACTGAGGTATTTACAGATACTGGCTAAAGAGCACTATGTGGGCAAATGCAGAAAGGCTTCTTCATCTTCTTCTTTTTCTTCTTAATAATTTAATTTAATTTAATTTAATTTAATTTAATTTAATTTAATTTAATTTAATTTACTTCTTGACTGCCAGCATGGCATCTACCTCCTCCTCGGGCTGTAAGGTGTGCCACTGTGCAATGGGCCGCCGGGGGTTGGCCAACATGTCTGACCAGTGCCGCAGCTCCGCGCCGGTGCTGTTGTAGCCCACAAAGACTTTCCCGATGGCATCGTTCTTGCCAATCTTGTCATAGTCCAAAACAGTCACAACAATTTGCACTTTCTGTAATGAGACAGAGACAGAGCAGTGAGCGTGACAGGGCAAGGCTGGCAGGGTGAATGTGAGGAGAGCCAGCCCTCGAGGAGCCATGAAGGGGGGACAGCTGCAGCAGATTCCTCTACTGAGAAGCAAATGCAAACTTTTGTTTTTGCTTCTTGTGAGCCTTTCAAATAAAATTAAGTTTATAACCTCCCTGTTAGCTTGAAACTTGCTCCCTTACATCAAAGAGCTGCATTTGGAAGTTCAGGTTGATTGTTTCTCCTTTAACAGATTAACAACTCATAGGTAGGGCAATTCAAAAGTCATGCAATTTTACACATCATTATTATATAAGTAAGCAAGTTAATAGCTGAAGTTCAGAAATGGCTGCATGTTTGCAACGCTGTACTCTATTCAATTAGGTGCTCTTCTGCTTCTAAACAACTCTTACCATSCATCCAGCACGCTAGTCAGGTGTTTTCAGATACATTCAGAAGCCAGTCCTTACAGTTACTATGTACATACACATACACACACACCCACACACACACACCCACACACGTTCTAATCTCTCTGAATGTGTGAGTGTGTGCATGCTGTGTATTTCTGAAGAAGTCTAGAAAACAGGCTGCCTGCTTAAGGGAGCTGGAATGGATGCACAAACCCCCATTGTCTCAGGCTCTGACACACTAGCACTGCCTATGACTGAGCTGATGTTGGAGTGCCACTTCTGTAGGAATGGTGACCTCTGGCAAACAGGGTTAAACAAGTCCCACACAGCCTATGTGAGCCCATCTGTCACAGCTCATAGACATTTTTCCATCCACTTAGGCTGGGGCACACTGGGAAGTGTTCCAGCCAGGCATTTATGTTTGTAGTTTTGTGCACATACACACAATTCCTCTCCTTCAGGTCTTTAATATTGGTTAAAAGAACACAAACAGAATTCCTTCAGTAGAGTGGTGTTCTTCCCCAACAGCACCAAAGACTTCCACAGTCGTAGGCTGATTTTACTAAATTGTAAACACTTCTCCTGGTAGAGCTTTACTTTTAAAGATGAACATACTGTTCTTCTCCTGATTCCAGTGTGAGCTTCCTGAATAGAAGGAAGAAATGCCCTGAAACACTTTTCCAGAAAAGTAATCTGTTCTCTAGAATCAGGTTTTTAAATTTAAAGCTCTAAATATCTCTACAATCTGGACCTCTTACTAGAATGATTAATTTCAGGGCTTTTAATAGGATTATCTTTTAAAAGTAGCAAGACTAGGGTCATGAGGTTTATTTTATAAAGTCCATTTCCTTACAGGATTGTTCAATTCACTGAGCCAGAGAAAGATGATTCCAACAGGCACTAAAGTATTTATATAGTTGCTGATGACAAAAGTATACATCAAACTCAAAATTTTCCTTCCGCAGAGCACTCATAATAAAAGGCAATATTCTGAAGCAAGGATTTCTAGATGCCAGAATTACATTTCAGTGTTGTTGTTTGCAATACACTCACTTTCAATGGTACCTCCCCAAATGAACACTTATGTTTTAGATGGATGCTACAATCACATATAAAAAAGTAAGCATGAGAGTATTTTCTTTGCTACACAAAAATTCTTGCCTGCTGTACCTAGAAGCTGGTGGGGGGGTAGTTATTACAGGATTTTTTTTTTTTAAATGTTAATCATAAGACAAAAATGAGCACTGTAAATGAAAGACCCTTTTCCTTATTCTATAAAGACGTAAGAACAGCTAGCTCAGATGATTAACTTAGAGATGATTCTCCCCTAATGATCTCTTGACTAAACCTACAGAGAAATATGAGCATCTCTTTGCCTTTGTACCACATATTAAAGGAGCAGCTGCATGGCAAGACCCAAGAGGTGCTAGTAAAGCACTGCCTCTTCTAATGAACACTTGGATTAGCAGTTTTCATGATGTGATTAAGCCCTTTGGACTGAAAGGGCCTGGAGACACTGTTGCCTACAAAGGCAGGCTGATTTGCACGTGGCAAAACATGTGCCTGTCCTGCCAGCAGCAGCTGGATTTGACCTCCCAGTGGTGCTCTCCCACTGTCCTTGAAGACATCACTTTCTTTCCTGTAAGAACCAGAACCCACAGTCACTGTCAAATTGTTGAAAATGTTAATGTTTGGCTGCTTTGAAATGAAACAGATGTATTGCTACTGACCTGAGTTCCCTTCATGATCTCTCTTCATTCTCCAACAATCAAGAAACTTGTATAACCACTATTTTTTGACTGTGAAAGTTTGTTTAATGACTTTAACATGAATTACACAAAAGTCACAGTGATTCTTACCATATTAAGTCTAAATAACTTAAAATGTGTTTTTCTAATGATGAAATCACTTCTAAGTACAGTTTTTTATATCCAACTCAAAATACATTGGCATATGACCAAAGTCCATAATTGCAGATTTAAAATTGGGGCTACATAGTCACGTCAATAGTGCAAAAGCAATTCTAATAAACTTATAAAATAAAAAGGCAAAAATTAAAAAATCTAAATCACAATATTTAAAAAAACAACTATATCCACCTCAAAAAATTAGTTAGGATTAGAAGGCAAAATGGTCAAGTACCAAGAATGCCCCTAAGCTTTGGTAGGGTAATTTGGAGGTAGCCATTGCAGATCCTCAATCCTGTCTGTATCTGGAAATCAAGACATTCATTACCTAAACTGCCATTTGATTTGATGAATCTTTTTTTACCTTTGGGTCTTTGATCCTTGTTATGAGATCTTTCACAAGCACACAGAGCAGCTTTCATTAAAATCAAGGGAATCCAGCCCCCACTGGATTTCCCACTTTTTGATTCCTAGAGTCCACAGACACCCGTAGCAGGTAGGTAGGTGGTAGGTAGACACATGTAGTAGGGCACGAAGAAATTCTAAATAAACTAGTCATGCACCCAAGTCACTATTCCCATGCTTCACCTTGTCTAGTTTCATTATATTTGTTACTACAAAGTCAATAAAATGCAAGCACTGTTGTACTTGAAGGATAGGCCTTCACTCCTGAGCTTAGTCCCAGCCCAGCTGCTATCAAAATCCAAGCTACAGAATGTGAAAACCCATACCATGCATGCTTCTAACCAAGAGGGGGCTCGCACTTTTGTCCAAGCAATTTAAACCCATTAAAACTTTTCAATTACAAGTTTAAAAGTACGGCACTTAACTCATTACCATCACCTGTCCTCCAATCCACAAAAAGATGTATTCCCAGACATTTTAAATCATAGTCATTCAAACTAGGAGGCCCCTGAAAGGATACTTTCCCCACTCAGCTGCACCCAGAAAAGCTGTTGTATTGCCTAATATCTCCACAGTCCTGGGGTTCCATGGCCAGGTGGGAAGCCAGCATGCAGTTCCTTTCCCACATACTTCCTGAGATAGTTAAAAAGAGATTTCTCTTGAGATAAAAGACTAGTTAACATCAAAGGAAGTTTATTCTCTCATGAGAGATGGTTTGCCTCCCAGCAGCTCAAAGACAGGCAAGTCTGAGTCCCTGAAAAAAATCACACAATGCCTTTGTCCTGGTATCTCCCACTGCTAATGGAGGCAACTGCACTGATTTCTGAGACCCTTAACTTTAGGCACTGAACTCTGGGACCAGCATCTGGACAACTACTAGAGCTCTCCTGAGGTGCTAAGAAAAAACTGGAAAAAAGCTGTGTATGAATTAGGTGTTTTACTTAAGAGGAGTGCTGCAGTGCTTTCAAAAACCAGGGCAAATAAATGCATAAGSAACACAAATTTAACTGATAATGCAAACTTATTTCAAATAATTTAGGGAAGAATATATATGGCTTTTCTTTTATCCCTACACCTTTCTACTGGCACATTCCTTCACTATCTCCCTGTGGATTTTTCTCCCCCAAATCCTTTTCTGTTAACAGAAAATGTCAGTTATCCATTTCTCACTGATGAATCAAAGCTTCGTAAGTACATCACATTTTATCATTTTCCTCTTGAAGCAGTCACACTCATCTAATGTAGCACAGGACTAGCACCTAGGTGCTAATGAATGCATGCACATGTGATAATTAACAAGATTCCTGTTAAATATTTATAAGGGCTGAGAAATGGAATGCGGAGGGAAGACAAAACACTATTTGACATTACCTGAATTTGCTCGAATGGTACTTCAAAGCTGAAAGACTCATTGTAGTAGGGATTCAGAGTGTTCTTTTTAATTGTAGTCTTTTTCTTCTTCAGCCTCTTACCATTCTGCATCAGATGGATCTTCACATAGGGATCTAAGCATTCAAGAGAAGAAGTAGAGCTAAGAAGAGTTCGGTTTTCTACAAATTTTAATCCCATACATGTAATTTAAAAAAGATAAAAAGACAACATTGACAGCTTGTATTTAAACAAAGTAATAATTTCTACTATAGAAAAGCTCCTGTATGACTGTGAAGTATTCCTTATGGGAAAAGGTACGAAGTATTTATAGCATTATCTCCTTAACATCATGAAGGCACGGTAAATTCCACCTAACTTTGTCGCACAGCTCATTAGCCATCCTGCAAGCATTTCTTAGCAATGGTTTGTGGGGTGGCTGTCCCAAGACCGGTGAGCGCTGCTGAATGCTCACAGCAGATACAGGGCTGGTGTGGCTGGGTGCTCTGCAACCACCTCCAGCTGATCCCACCACTCCCTGGGCAGGTGCTGCATCGTGATTTTCCTGTCCCTGACCCTGCTGCTGGACTGTGACTGACACAGAGCAGGGTCCAGCGTTGCCTGGCAGGAAAGGACTCTGCCCCTTCAATACCAGCCCTTGGACTCAGTGCTGCACACAGCCAGAGTCCAGTGGGGGCCACTGTGGGTTCTGCTGTAAATCACAGATTGGTTTTGCCACTCTCTGCTGAATTCTCTTTGTTATTTCAAATGGCTTCTGGTGGCAAAGTGACAGAACTCATTTGGTACTTAATCAGGTATTCCTTGTGCAAGAAAAACTTTCCTGGACACTACAGTGGTGATGAGGTACTTTGGTGATGACAATTTCAGTGCAAGTTTTGCCTGCTTAAAAGAACAATGCTGTGAGTCCTTAACCTGCTCTTGTTAAGTTTGGAGAGTGAACTAGCATTCTTCCATGAAACTGGGAATTAGCAGTGCCTTCACTGAGTTCAGCTATTTCTCTGTTTAGGCTTGCCAAAAAACAACATTTGAGGCATCTCAAGGTCATCCTTTTCAATAACCTGTATGGTGCTGTCACCAAAATTTGGGCAGGTACCTCTCTGGCCTTAGGCAAGCCTTCTCTTGAGAGAGCTGGTAGGAGCTACATGAAATGGCTGCCAGACATAAGTCACCAGCAGCATAAATAAGAGAGCCTGAATAACACAAACTATCAAAACAGAGGGTTTCTCCTTTCCCTCCTGAGAAAAGGCTGGGGCTACAGCAGAATGACAAATGAACACAGCACTTACTATGAACAAGCCATGCTTTACAGTTCTGCAATGAAATTAATGTTTACAAAAGGAAGTGCACTCTTCTATAGTCAAAATACACCTTTCTGTGGAAGACCTGGGTGTTCAGGACAGTTAAGTTACTGGAGTGACTTGATCAGAGTCTACAGTGCCTCTGTAGGGAGCATAATTTTGGTAGTGGATTCTTCAAGGGAGCAGACAAGGGCTCAGAAAGATCCCATGGCCGTGAGAAGGAATTAGAGAAATTCTAACTTAGAAATAGGCATGTATTTTAGTAGTAAGGCTGAAACAGCTGGAACAGCTTCTCCAGTGATGAAATCTCTGTTACAGAGGGTTAAGTCTCCTTTTCCCTCAAGACTGAAGTTCAAACAGAAATTAAATCTAGATAGGTTTTTGCTTGAGGCAAGATGGGATTTTCAGGGTTCCTTGTGGCTGCACAATATGTGAATTAAGGAGTATCACGTGAAGAGCAAAATGTATTGGCAAAAAAGCCAACAGAGGTCTGTTTCTTTTTTAATACTGAATTAACATCACTGAACACAGGGTTTTGAAGGTGGAAAGCAGGCAAATCTGGACTTCCTCACCATTAGCTGATACCTGAGAAAAGCTCATCACTTTTCCTGAGGCTCCATGAGGAATGCAAAATTGTTTTAATTTCAAAATGATGGTTTCAGTATAGCTAGTGTATACTAAGAAAGTTTAGTAGTCAGTGAGTCAGTGGTAGAATGTCAAGATATAAGAATAAGATGCTGTAAAAATATAATTTGAGTAACTAGGCTGGAAGGCTAAACAGTACAGTAATACATTATTATTAAGGGTMTTAGAATAGAATAATTTATTAAAATACATGCAGGTGATATAACTCAATCCTTTGCTGATCGTGCCTGTGCACACACAATATACACAGATTTGATGTCCATAAATTCCTATGTCCATAAAAAATGGTACACTAATGATTTATAAAGTGCTGCAGAAATATTTCTATTTTGGTAACAAAATCTGTATTTTGGAGAAAAAAAAAATTTAAACTAGAAATCAGTATTTGTGAATGCTTGTACATCTATGTGTACATTCACCTTAAATTATTTGCTTCTTTCTATAGTTTCCATCTTCTTGCTCTTCTTCATGCTCGTGTTAGAGCAAAACCTGACTTGGATAACTCACGGCCATGGGACAAGACCCAGAAGACACATTTCTGTGTGTCTTTTTAATGTCCTGATCAGTTTCTTTTGTCGGTGTGGGGAGTTGAGTTAGGCTCAGTCAAATGCCAGTTGTTCAGCAGGAAAAACCTAGTGGTGCCACCGTAGTGCAGCACTGAGTGGCAGAGGTACCAAATGGAGCACAGTATATAACACACTATAATATTCCAATTGCCTTTAACCTGAGGGTGAAATGGTTATGCTAATCCAAATCCAAATCAGATATCACTTAACTGAAACCATGTTCCTTCTTTGCTAGTTTCACAGGTAAGTATTAAAGAAGTTTACTCATCACAAACATTTACAATCAGAACAGGGTGTCCAGCTCAAATAAGTGGWTGGGCCAATAGAGATTTTGGCTGAGTTCATCCTCATTAGATGGTATCTCCGTTTCCTATTTTCTGAAGTATCCCGATCCAAACGATTCTCCCCTCTCCTCACTGTCCTGTGTCCCGTACATGAGCCCCTCCAGCACTGCTCTACCTTCAGTTACATTCTCCCATGTTCCACAACACTGACTCCCTCAACTCCCCAGCAATCTATGTGCTTGCACTTTACACAGAAAACCTGATACCTAAGCACAGACTTTCTCATGACTTCATTAATAAATCTCTGAGAAGGACAGACTCTCTTCCACTAAATAACAGAAGCTGAACTGCTCGGAATCAATTATTGGAAGAAGGGATGATAATGACAAGAAAGCAGAACCTCTGGGAAGTGCCAGTCTCCAGTGATTTTTGTGAGATAAGGTTTAATGCTAATGGAAACTTCTCTCATCTCTACTTGCAACATAACCTCGGTGCTGGCCCCATTACTCATGCTGAGTAATACTTTAACATGTAAACAGTCTCACTGAAGAAGTGAGACTAATAAGGATGACAGAAYTGATATTATAGCTTTGCAAAGATAAATTGCCTGTTAAGTGCCTGGCCTGGTCATAAAGGGCAGAATTATTTTGACCAAGCAGAAATGTCCACATCTGATGCCAGTGAAAATAAACAAGCATTTCTCTTTAGGTACCCCAGATAGTTATCTCATTCCAGAGTAAATATCTATCTTCAGTTAAACAGATTGCACCACAAAATATTCATTTCTCTCCATGGGTAAACACCACTGTTTTTTCTAAGCAGCTTTATTCCTTTCAAGTAAACAGGGACCTAGAACCACATTGCATCCATAGGTATCTCTGGAAGGACCAAACCCATCTATCTGGAAGAAAAGATGTTGCATCCAGATGTCCCTCTGCTGAAGGGGACAGAATAGCTTTGTGTCCCTTGTTTAATAATTCATTTCAAGCAGTGTGTGGAAATAAATAAAACTGTGCTATTTATTCCCTCATTAACAGTCTACCCAGGAATGCTAAAAAGATGTAAAATTCACAACTAATTGTGCATTGTAGATTTCACAGTAATGTCTCAATGGAGGCTAGTTGAACTGCTTTTAAAGCACAGTGGGACCAGCTGACACATTTTATTTTCCTGAAATTTGTAGTACGATGGCAATACATTATTTAAGAAGTAATCAAAATGGTATGTTTTATGAGGACTTCTACAGTAATCTGGACCATGAGGAATATATATATATATATATATTCAATTGGAACCCTCTTAAAAGAATGACTATTTACAGACATGTTGCAGACAAAATGCACTTAGCTGTTAAGAGATTTTACAAAAGCAAACTTTGAAAGGGAAAAAATACTATAGCTCAAAGGAAGAAAATTGTGACAAAAGACAGAATGTCAGGAAAAGGTAGAACTTGAGAATGACTGCTTTTCAAGGGGTTTTAAGATGAAAAATTTGTTATAGGGAAAAGTAGCTAATGAAAAGTAATTTCCCACATAAGTAGGAGAGAATTTGGCAGACAAATTTCCATTTGTATGGATCTTCAGAAAAAAAAGCATCAGCAATATATTCAGTTTGGGATGATTTTATTACAATGGTTTATTCTGAATGCGAACAGAAGGACAATGCCCATACTTTTACAAATAAATTTAAGGCTTCTGTAATCTAACCAAAATATAAAAAGAAAAGCACCTAGAAGGTGATAAATTTGGCAAATGCCACAGGGATAACACTGGAATTGATTTGGTGTGGAGTTTCAGTCCTGAGGCTGTGGGCAGGAGGAGCTTAATAGTTTAAAGAAAAAAATCTCATGCAGCCCTGTGCAGTGAGATGAGAGAAAACCCTCTACAAGYCTTGAGTAAGCCTAACATGATTAACAGGGAAAAAACTGAGCCAGAACAAACTAGTCATAGATACAGATGAATAGTTTCATATGACAAAACACTGTAATAAGATGTTCTCCACTGAAATGTGGAAATAGAGAAGAAACACTGTGCCAGAACTGCCTCCAGCTGTATTTTTGTCTTCAAAATGTTCAGGATAACTGGGTGCTCATTAGCACGTGTTTTTTTCCCTATCAGAAGAAAATTTATGCGTAACCCATGCCAAAGCTCAACATCACTAATATTTAGAGCAAAGGTGTCAGCAGACAGTAGAGTTTCCATTCCAGGAAGCAGAATGACTTCCTGAAGAGCTTGGAAATTGATTCAAGAAGCAGAGAAAATGAGGTTTGGAAATACAACTTCACAAACAGCTGTGCAAATGCAGTTAGGACAGAGGTGACTTG